GCAGGTCTTGTGCGCGCAAAAGAACTTCTTGCAAGCTGCGCGCTTGGCATGGCCAACGGTCACCTAACTGTATGCGCTTTTCCCTGCTGTCTATTTTGCTCCTGCCCCTCGACCGGCTCTAACAAACCCTAACGGCCGTGTAACCAGCCGTCTCAACTCCCCCCCGCCGGGGACTTGTCTGCAGCAACATAACTGACCGCATGTTTGCCATTGACCCCATTCCCATAGCAACGTAACTGCCCGATGGGAATTTATCGAAAGATTACATAAAATCGCCAACTGTTCTTCTAAACTGTGAACGGAATCGTAATCTTCGCAGCCACCTGTTTTAACAAGCTCAGCAAAAACGCCAAGGGCCGGAGCAGAGGGAGTTTTGTCTGTAAAATAAACAACATAGCTGTACACAGGTCATGTTACAGAAAAGAATGTACAAAGATAAGTCTATTACGAGCGTCTAGCTTTGGCCTGACGTTTGGCAGATCGACTATTACCCGCAGGTTTGCTCTTCTTCTTGCCAATCACTTTTGGGCGATTATGTCTTATCTTTGCACCCAACTTCTTTGGAAGAATTCGAGGCTTGCTTTTAGCTAAACCCTTTACTTTTTTCGCTCGCGGAAGAAGCAACTTGGACTTTTTCGCCGCAGATGGACCGGCCTGTTCAACGTCCTGGGCCACCTGGTGAACAAAAGAATTAACATTTATTGCTACTTCTCAGTATTCAGTAGATGTGACTGTTTTATTCTAAAACAACAAACAAACCTTGCTCTTCTCTGCCCGTCGGCGCTTTTTCTCAAGGGCTCGAGAATTTTCCAGGGAGAATTCCACAATAGGACGCTGAAGAAAAGATAAACAACAATTTGAGGTAACTATTTTGAGAATAGCTGGTAGGGGTTCGTACTATCTAGTCTGAAAACGAAAAGTCAAGGCGGATAGCACATAGGCAAAATTGGCAGCAGCAGCCAGTTTACCAAAAAGCGAGAAGCAAGTACAGTAGTCGCCGGCTATTAAGCCACGGTTAATAAGCCCAGCCGCTTATTAAGCCCAATTTGGTCTGGGCCCGAGGTAGGCTTAATAGCCGGCGACTACTGTAGTATTTTTGAGATGTCACTACATAACAACTTGAAATATGTCTCATTGCATACTACGACGAAAAAGTACTTTTTTAACTGAGCGCTCTTCCAAATAAGTTACTGCAGCCACACCTGACAATTGTGTGAATTAGGTAATGTTCTCCTAATACTCTCCTTCCCTTCCCCCACCGCTAACAAGGTTATTTTGGTGGCAAAAACATCCTCTCATACGTCACTCAGATTGCAGTACAAACTTGGTGTCTTCAAGAGAACACTGGGTTCGGTTTTCTCTAACTGATAGTATGGTAATCGGATCCGAAGATCTACGTGTACTGCGAATCCGTCCTCCTAGGCGATTGTGAATGCTGCATTGTGCATGTTGAACATAAGCGATAACTGGGAGTGGTTGACCACAGCAGCCTGACAGTTATCCTTGCTGTGGTTTCATGCAAAAGTCATGACGAAATGGTACTTCGTAGTTGAGCATAGATTTCGGCAAGTTATTTTAATCTGATGGGTGGATTTAAGTCTGAGAAAGCCTTTTGGCGAAATTTGAGGTTGCCTGACATCGAGGAAATTTCCTAGGCTGTTAAGTACCAAACTTTTTATTCATATGCGTTAGGTTATGGGTAAAATCTGACATAAGGAAAGTATAAAACATATCCCTTCGAGGACGGGAAAGTCTAGTCTAAAGTTGATAAAAAGTCAAGTTTAAGGAATCCCATTGTTTTCGGACAAAAGGAATGATTTCACTTTTAAAAATTATGCTTTTTAATGTTTGAAATGTGTTGTCAAGAAACGCAGTAAAAAGGTTTTTACAGTATTTTCTTTTACTACATCAACAATTCGGGACAATAACCAAAAGTGCATACATTATCATGAAGGCAGCCTCCGCCGCCTTCAGTCAACACAGAGCGCTGCCCTCCGCACGATCACGGGCTGCTTTAAAAGGTCGCCTATCGATCACCTTGATGCCCCTCACAGCACACTCTTAGGCTAGCGGTTCTGGTGGACCTTTTCGCAACCCGGCCATCCTAATCACCATATTTGGCACACTCCTGAGTTCGGCCGTCTATTCAAACTCTCCACAAGGAATCTGTCACCTCGTCTCTCTCTCTGATCTACCCGTTGATGGCTCTGCCACCAAGACAGGCTTACAGCGTCTTCACCAGAGAGCGTCGAGGAAAAACGAGGTTACCATACCCCGGTTCTTTTGGGCGGCTATCCACCTCCGATTACGGCCTCAGAACAACAACTTCCGAGGGTCACTCGCTGTACTCTGGCTCAACTACGCAGTGGCTACTTAATGGTCCTTCGCCAGTGCCAACACCGGGCCGACCCGACCGCCGCCTCGACTGCGGCGTTTCTCCGCATGACTATCAGCATATGTTCGCCTGCAGTTTCCGGCCAGGCACTCAACTCACCCCCATGGACCTTTGGCTCAAGCCGGCTGAAGTCGCGGCTTTTCTCCGTCTCCCAATTGCACCCAGTTTAGACTCTGGCGGGGACTCCTGATCCAACAAGGGCTACTAACCAACCAACTGCTTGCGAAATAAGGCCTCCATGAATATCGATAAGGAGGCAAGTAAAATGGATATCAACAGATGAAACTGGAAAATGAGAAATCAGGAAGGAGGGAAACTTACCCGACTGCCGCCGAGGATGGCACTATTGTTGTTGAGGACTTGAAGAACCTTTAGGGCGTCCTTGTGTTCGTCAAAGGCAACGAAGGCATAGCCTAGGGATTTGGGGTTCAGTTTTCCACTCTTCAGGTCCCGCATAATGCGACACTGGGTGTGTGTGAAAGAACGGAAGGAAAAAAGGGATTAAATTGCGACCACTGAAGACACAAGATTATCCTAGGCCACGACCGCAAACACCACCTAGGGGCGAATTACAAGGTACTTATCTCACTTCCACGGTTCACGCCCATCGCGTCCCAATGACAACAGTAGGGATAGGTTTGGGTGAGGTGGTCTCCTACTTAATAATCAAAAGCACTCTCGTCTGTGTCTTTTTACTACAAGTTTCTCTCATTTTGTTACATTCTTTCCAACGAAGTACCATCTTCCAGATAACCGCGTGTGAATTTTCCTCAAATCTCATTTTGCTACACATTGAAATCCTTTTTTACTCAAATTCGTTTATTTTGGGTTTCTAAGCGCTCACCCATCGCTAACGGAAGT